GCCGCGTTTGGCCTCGCTCCGCCTGCGAGAGCCCCAGCGTGAGCGCCTCCAGAACAGCTGGACCACGGGGTGACCCGAGGCCCCCGCCAGAGGTGCCCTGCCCCCATCCCGGAGTCGTTCCCTAGGGACATCTCACTCCCGAAGTTCGTGTAAAAGCTGCACTGTGCCTGCAAGGGAGGCAGGCCGGGGCAGCTTTCCTTTTCATAGTTAAGGAAACCAAGATTCCAGTTCACTTTTATTTTTATTTATTATTTATTTTGAGAGACAAGGTCTCGTTGTGGGCTCAGGCTGGAGTGCAGTGGCTGATCATAGCTCACAGCGGCCTCGACCTCCGGGGCTCACTCGATCCATCCGCCTTGGCCTCCCAAAATGCTGGGATTAAAAGCGTTAGCCACCGTGCCCAGCCAGATTCCAATTTATAATGTGACAGAGGGATTAGGCGCTCAGGCCCTGAGGCCAGATGGAGCGTCAAGGTGTTGTGTAGTTGTTGTTATTGTTTTTTTAAAATAAGTTCACCTTTCTGAGACTCGGTTTCCTTATGCCTGGAGTACAGTGACAGAGGAATGGGAAAATGCACTGGAGGCATTTGACACAGTGCCTGACATGTGCTAAGTTACTAGGAGAGGTCAGCTACTGTCGCCTCTGGGGCTGTGAGTTATGGAGGTTATAGTCAGTAAATAGGGAGCTTGAGTCAAGACCCAAGCTCCGTGTTTATCTTTCTCTCTTCCAGCCCTCACCAGGCCTTTGCATCTTTGAAATTAGTCAAGATCACAGTCTCTAAAAGATTGGCCCACAGGGCAAGTCTTGAGTTTCTGATATGAAACCTCCAAGTGTTTTGAAATGTCCTGATGGCATCGGATGCCCTCCAGGTACTAGGGAGGTGGCCCTCTCATGTGAGGGAGACACAAGGGACAGTGGCATGCTGACCTGCAGCAAAGCTGCTTGACTGGTCCATATGAACATTAGGTCACCAGGCCTTCCTGATGCACAAGCATTGTTTAGCTCCTGGGGATGCGAATGTAGTTATTTATTCATTCATTCTTTCAACATATACTGATCAAGCCTCTGCTGTGCAGCAGGCATTGCTCTAGGTGTGGAGAAATAGCAGTGAATCAAAGGTCCCGCCCTCATGAGCCAATGTCATGGTGGTGGCACAGGGAGTAAAGGGGCTTTTTGAGTTACCAGGCGAGGTCAGCCGCTGTTCCCTCTGGGGCTGGGAGTTACCTGAGGTTATGGTTAGTAAATAACAGAGCTTGATTCAAGACTCAGTTCAAGACCTGGGTTCAGGCTGGGCATGGTGGCTCATACCTGTAATCCCAGCACTTTGGGAGGTGGAGATGAGAGGATTGTCTGAAGCCAGGGGTTCGAGACTAGCCTGGGCAACTTGCCGAGACTTCGTCTCTACAGTAAATTAAAAAAAAAGAAAATTAGCTGGGCGTGGTGGCACACAACTGTAGTTCCAGCTACTTGGAAAGCTGAGGTGGAAGCATAACCTGTGCCCAGCAGGTCAAGGTTGCGGTTGTTGTGAGTGTGCCACTGCACTCCAGCCTGGGTGACAGAATTAGACTCTCTCGATTCAAAACAACTACAACAATAACAACAACAACCACAAAAACCGGGTTCAGTGTTGATCTCACTCCCCTACAACCCCCACCAGGCCTTTTTATCTTTAAAATTAGTCAGTTTTGGATGGGGGGGAATTAGTTTCAAAGATAGTCAACTAATGATCTTCAATCAATCTTTGAAGACTATATACAAGGGTTTTCAAACAGTTTAAAACCTTAAGATATTTAATTATTAGAGAAGCTGTCTGTGAACAGCCTTTACAGACAAGATCACGGAATATTTAGCTGTTCACATGCCCTGTACTATGACATGTAGACAAGGGCACCCCGGTGATGGATGGAATTGTCTAACTGGAGCTGCTGCTTGTTAGAAAGACTTTCCATCCCTGAAGCCTCAATGACTGGCATTATAAAATAACTTGAGGTGTAAATCCTGCATGTGGTTTCTTATGAGCTCCCTGGAACCCCCTTCAGTTAACTGCTGCAGTCGGTCCTTAGAATATCTTAAAGCATTTCAGGGTGGTGTAGTGAGATGAACCCAGGAAGTCTAGGGCTTGAGGTCAGATTTGCTCTTAGGTTTATGCCTGCCTCTCAGTCACCTTCCTGGGCCTCAGTTTTCTTATCTGTAAAGTGGTATAAGTCCCAGGCCCTGTCCCTGTTTTTGTGAGAATCAAACAAAGCTACATTCAATGAGATTTACAAGTGCTTACGTTAGTGCTGTTTTTTTAAACAAAGTAAAGCAACAATGTAAATATTTCAACACCCACTAGTCCACCTAAATAAAGTTTTGTTTATGTGCCAAGAAGCATCTGAGCACAGAGCCTGCACCCCAGCCACCTGCAAACGGTTCATTTGACGACTGAGAATTTTGAAGTGCTCTGATTTCCAAAAATAATGTCTCAAAATTCTTGCACTAGATTTCCCTCTGTGTCTGTAAAGGCAAATCCAATTAGTGTGCATATCAAAGCAAATGCTATCTGTTTCCCAGTTGCCATGGAATTTAGAATTTCTTTCCAAAAGCCCATTTGATAACTATTTCCATGCCAAGCTGCAGCTTTGAAATGAGGCCTCTTAAAATCCTACATAGGGATCCTTTCTCTGGGCCATCGCATGAGGTCTCTGCCTATTCAAGGGGAATTTCTAATTGCATTTATCTGGGAAGAAAAGTGATTTTCCTGTTGCAGCCCCTATGGCTGTTTAGAGAAAACTTTGTGGTCATTAGCCTGTGAGTTTCCTGTTCTTCTGTCCAGTCAAACTGACCTCATATGCTTTGTTCTCAGGGCTTGGAGAGTTTTCTAAGAGCATATCCAAGTCACTCAAGTCCCATTCTCCACTGTGTCACCATAAGCCCAGCCCGTGTGCACCTTCCCGGGATTGTCGTCCTCATCACTGTGGTCAGCCAGTGCCTTCTGTCTCCTTCCAGGGGGCCAAGATGGGTCGTCGTGCTCAACAGGAGTCAGGGCAGGCCGAGAATCACTTCAGTGGCCAGAATTCTTCTTTGACTCTGGCTAGAGAGGTGGGTGCAAAAAAAAAAAAAATTCCTGAAGCCATGCTGCTTTAGAGTTGGTGATTCCTTGATGAGCAAGGATTTGGCTTGGTTTTCCACATCTCTTCTCCTCAGTGCCTCCTCCGCCCACTTCTCGATTTGGGAACTCCCTGCCTTGGCATTTGTTCTGGTAGCAAAAAAGGAAAGGGGAGCTTTTTTCTTTGATGCCAGCCTAGTTCCGTGCATCCCTTTATATTCTTAATGTAGAGCTTTTTTGTGAGCTGAAGCAGGGGACTGGGAGGTTTCGAAATCCGATAGAAATCCAGGTTTTAATGTCTGCTGCGTAAATGGCAGTGAAGCATGCTGGTGACCTGAGGGTGGGTGACACAAATGAACTTTGCTCTTGGGGGCGACCTGCATTTTCTAGTCTTGGGAAGGGGATCACTTGCTGGCTTACTTTTCTGGAAGCTTTTCCGAGGAGCCTGGAATTAGGGACACTTCTCTGGCTTTCTGGAGGACAGGCAGTCTTGGTGAGCAGCCTTTGTTAATACCAGGGTGCTGTTTTTCAGCCTTCTCAGAGCCCCTTTACACCTTCCTCCATCCATCTGGAAAAACTTTTCCTTTCGGGAGTCGACGTCAGGATTGCCCCTGGGTGGCTTGTCACTCCGGCCCCAGCTGCTTAGGGCTCCTTCCTCTCTTGCCCCGTGGGGCCCACCACCGGACACAGCCCAGCAGGTGTTAGTGGTCTTCTTGCCTGTCTGTCTGCCTCACTGGGCAGTGAGTTCCTAGATAGCAGGAAACTCAGCTTCCTGCCTGCTGGCACATAGTAGGTTTACAGCATGCTGAGCCACCCATGCTAAGAATCCCAATAGGCCAGGCAGGGCATAAGCAAGTAAGCCAGGCATGACATACAGTGTGCTTCACCTGCACGTGGGTGGGGTGTTCCTCACTGTCATGGGAGCTGTGTCCACCACTCTCCTGTGCTGTCCTGTGGCCCTGTCAGTGTAACTTTTGTCTTGTCACTTACTGTAGAAATGTGGGTGTGGAGAAGCTTTGTGATGACAGCTTGCCCGCACAGGAAGATGCAGCCCACGCTCAGCCTCATTCTCTGAAGACCTATGGAGTGGGTTAGGGCAGGAGCACTGGGAACTGGGGGCCACCTCACACCCCTCTAAAGGAACAGCTACTGCTTAGTGGATGCTGGTCGGTACTGTAGGGAACACAGACCCCATGTTTCTAGATCCTCTGATTTTTCAAGAGATGCAGGCAGTCTGAAACTTTATTGTGAAAGCAACATTTTTTAGAGGTTGGCAACTCATTATGAAAATGCAGTCACTGTGTGGACTGGGCTTGGCCTGGGGGTTGTCAAGTTGTAACTTGGGCCATGATACCTTCATTATGGTATTTGTTACATTATATTCTATTGCTGACCTGTCCAGCTTCCTCCTAACGTGAGCTTCTGGAAGGTGGGGGCTGTGTCTTATCCATGTACCACTTTGCCTGTCACAGTGCCTGGCATGTTCGTGCGAGGTGGGGAAGTTTGTAGTGTGTTCTGTACTTAATGCATTTGAAGCAGGGTAAGTAGAGTACTGGGGCTGGGCAGGCAGAGACTGGGACATTGCAGGCACAGTTGTAGGGTCTGGTGACAGCAGGCAGGTGGTGACAGAAGATGTACAGACCCAACACCGGACTCCGGGAGAGTGACCTGCCATCATGCATGTCTTTAAAGAGAAAATTTGGCAGCATATGAGTTGATGGAAGTCCGCTCTTGGCTTCTGGCAATTGACACTGTTCCGCGTGGGTCTAGGAGGGCCCATTTCAACACTAGGTAATTTGTTGTTTCATTCAATAGATGTCTATTGATGCTTACTGTGTGCCAGGCACCATTTTACGGTGAACAAGAGACAGGATCCCTTGGCATCATAGAGCTTACACTCTCATGATCACTGACTTGCAGGAAGACTAATTAAAAGTTGACTTAATGCCAGGCTCGGTGGCTCAGCCTGTAATCCCAGCACTTTGGGAGGCCGAGGCAGAAGGATTGCCTGTGCCCGTGGGTTTGAGACTAAGGTCTCCCCAAGTTGCCAGCCTGGGCAATGGAGTGAGACTCCAACTCAAAAAACAAAACAAACAACAACAAAAAGTTGACTCAACTGTGCAGGAGGTACCTGCAGTGGTTATGTGAATGAGCCTGTGGTGGCTTCAAAGCCTTACGTGACCTCCATATCAAATCAGCTCTGGGCTGGGGGACTCCTCCTCTTCCTTCTCCTCCCCCTCCTCTCCCTTTCTCTTCCTTCCTCTCCTCCCCTCTCCTCCCCTTCCCTTCCCTTGCCTCCCAGGTGAGAGTCATTGCTGTAAGAACATCACTCCATGGTCATGGTGCAGTGAACCCCTCAGGGCTCCAGACTTTCAGGAATACCTGCTTATTTCAAGGCATTGGCCTTCTTGTACCTTGGGTCTCAGCATTTTTCTGGGAGAACTTGGTGAAAAGTCATTCATCTCCTCACACACCTGTTGCTTTTTTTTTTTTTTTTTTTTTTTTGAGTTGGAGTCTCACCATCACCCAGACTGGAGTGCAGTGGCCGCTCCCGGCCACGGCAGCCTCGACCTGCTGGGCTCTGGCGATCCTTCCGCCTCAGCCTTCCGAGTAGCCAGAATTACAGGCGTGCGCTACCACACCTGGCTGATTTTTTGATTTATTGTAGAGATGAGGTCTCGCTGCCCAGGCGAGTCTCGAACCCGTGGGCTCAGGCAATCCACTCACCTCAGCCTCCCAAAGGCGCGGGGTTACAAGCTGAGCCACCGAGCCCGGCTACACCTGTTGCTTTTGAGAGAAAGATACGGGTCAGGATGCCGGGTTCCCTTCTCTTCCTGGGCTAATTGAAGTTCAAGGCAGTGTGGGCAGCCTCCCACGGGTCAGTTGCTCACTGTGCCTGAGGGACTTCTGGCTGTTTCTTTCTAAAGTTAGATCCCAGGCTTGCATGTGTGCCCATTTGCATTCCAGTTCTGAGGGTATGACTGGATGTATTTATTTTTGTCCTCTTGCTGACCACATTCCAGGATGAAGATATCCATGCATGCGTAAATATGGCACCTGGGAACTGTCAGATGGCCTGGGGCTACTTTAGAGTTAAGAGCGAGCTAGTTCAAACAAGTGGTCATTTTAAGCGAGGCAGCGAAGGTGGGAGCTCTGGAGAAGGAGCAAAAGCAGTGGGGGGGCTTGAGCCTGGGTTTGCTCGTGGCTTGGATCTTGAGTAAGTCCGCTCATCTCTCTAACCTCCCATCTTGTTATCTGTCAAGTGGTGAGATAATACCACCAGGTTGATGGGGAATGAGTGAGATGCACATTCGGAAGTGCTTTAGTGAACTGCAAAGCACAGTGTCATTCAAGAGCTTTGTGAGTAAGGGGTATTTGGGCAGCACTTTGTTGCTTTTATTAAAGTACAGAAAAGAGAAAGGATGTCGTTGACCAGTGTCTCTTTCAGGACTGGCTAGGAAGTCTCTCCACTACTGCTCATATACCCATAGGTTGGCTACTACTTTCCCAGGGCAAAATTTCTGTGCTTTTTAGTTGAAGTGAGCATTTTGTATGAAGAGTGACTGAGAGCACAGGCCTCGGGGACATTGGGCTTGGGCTGAGGACCCAACTCTGTCACACATGTGCTCCATGACTGTGAGCAAGTTGCTTAATCTCTCTGAGCCTCAGTTTCCTCACTGGTGAAATAGGAATACTATTATTCCGTACTTCACAGGGTGACTAGAACGAGGACATGATCTAACCCTTCACATAGTCTGACACTCAGCATGTTGTTTCTCTTGGGTGTTCTTTTCATTCTGCCTTAACCTTCTCCTTGGGTTGAAAGCTAGTGGCCTTCAGGCTGAGTTTAGCCTGTAGCCATGTTTCATTTGTTCTGGACAGAGTTAACATCTTTTAAAAAATAGGTGAACATTTATAAACTGGGAAACTTCATGTGAAAATCCAGACTTGGGGCTTCTTTTAAAATCAGATCCTGGCACAGTGGAATGCGGGACTGGCATTGCCACATGGTGGCAATGGCCAGTGTTGAGATGGCGCTGGCTTACGGTGCTAGCCCATCCTGGTTCAACTCTTCATGCATCAGTTCACCTGGTCAGATGCACTCACATTTATCTGCCTGGCTCTTGTTTCCATTTGAGTTTAAAACTCCTGCTCTTTTAGGGCGAGTTGACTTTCAGATATCCCTCCATATCTGTTAGGATTGAATTTGGCTCCATGCACCAGAAACAACTCCAACACTTGAATCAGGCAGGAGTGATTTTTTTTCTCACTAGCGAAGAATCCAGTGGAGTGTAGGCACTGCAGGCATGGTCCCTGGAGGGTGCCCTGTGTTACTCCAGTCCCTGTGAGATTCTTGCTCACCATCTGGAACTTGTGACTTTTGTTCTCATGATTGCAAGATGGCGGTCGTTCTCCTGGATCTGCGTTCTAGGTAGGAAGAGAGGGGGATAGTCGAAGAGGTCAAGGTGCTTGCCAATCAAGTGCCCCTTCTCATTGGAAAGACTGTCACCAGAGACCTCACTAAGGAGGCTTCTAGTTGCGTTTCATTGGTCAGAATTGGGTCTTACAATGGTTGTAAGTTTCAGGGGAGTTTGTGACTGGGCACTTTGCTAGACCTAACATCCCGGTTTCTTGGCGATAGAGGTGGGGAGAGTACCTGTTGAGTAGGAAGTTCAAAACTGACATGTCAATTTTAAAAAATCAAATTTATAGAAAGGTTGTCTTTTTTTCTTTGTGGCCCCAGGTATGAAAGAAAATTATTTGTAGTAGCTAAAAAAATCTACATTCTGTCCAGGTATCCATAATCCCAGCACTTTGGGAGGCCAAGGTGAGAGAATTGCTTGAGCCCAGGAGTTTGAAACCAGCCTGGGCAACATAGTAAGACCTCATCTCTACAAAAAATCAAAAAATTACTTGGGTGTGGTGGCACGGGCCTGTAGTTCCAGCTACTTGGAAGGCTAAGGCAGGAGTTCGAGGCTGTGGTGAGCTGTGA